TCAAGATCAGACAAGCAATTTAGACAGAACTAAAACTCCTAGTGAAATCATCATTAGAAACCTCCCAACCAGATGATTCTACCAGACTTTTGAAGAAGAGTAAACACCAATGCTCCTAAAATTATTCCACAAAATATAAGCAGAGAGAACATTGCCAAATTCATTTTGAGGCCATAGTTATCATGATATGGAAACCACATAAAAACCCATCAAAGAAAGAAAATTACACCAAAGAGATCTGTACTTATCACCCTGCACAAAACTCAACTTCAAATGGATAAATGACTTCAACATAAAGCCAGATACACTGAATCTGATAGAAGAATTAAGTGAAGAATAGCCTCAAACTCATTGAAACAGGAAAAGAAATTTTAGACATACCACTGTTAGAATAGGCACTAAGTTCAACAATTAATTAAATGGGGCCTCATGAAATTGAGAAGCTTCTGTAGGGCAAAGGGCCCTGTCATTCCAACAAAGTGGCAGCCTACATAATGGGAATTTTTTTAACAACTGCACATCTGATAGAGGGCTAATATCCAAAATATATTAAAAACTCAAAAAATTAGATATCAAGAAAACAAGAATCTAAACAGAGAATTAGAGGAAACTCAAATATCTGAGAAACACATATAGCAATGTTTGACATTCTTAGCCATCAGGGAAATGAAAGTAAAAACTATAATGAGATTTCATCTTATACAAGTCAGAATGGTCATGATCAATAAAACAAATGACAGGTCATGCTGGTGCAGATGTGGGGTAAGGGAAACACTCATACATTGCTGGTGGGGGTGCAAACTTGTGCATCCACTATGAAAATCAGCATGATGGTTCCTCAGGAAGATGGGAACCAAATCTACCTCAAGATCCAGCTATATCACTCTTGGCATATACCTAAAGGATGATCCATCCTACCACAAAGACTCTTGCTCAATCATGTTCATTGCTGTTCTAGCCATAATAGTCAGAAACTGGAAACAACCTAGATGTCCCTCAACAGAATAGATTTTTTTTAATGTGGCACAATTACACAATGAAGTATTACACAGCTCTTAAAAATAATGACATCATGAAATTCACAGGCAAATTGATGGAACTAGAAAAAAAATCATCCTGAGTGAGGCAACCCAGACCCAGAAAGATAAATACAGTTTGTATTTACTTACATGTGGATATTAGCCATTAAGTAAATGATACCCAAGATCATTCTCTAATTCCATAGACCTAGTGAGGTTAGGTATAGAGGAAGGAATTAGAGAGTACGGAATAGACAGATCTTGTTAGAAAAGGAAAATAGAATAGATAATTATGGTTAAGGGGTGGGGGTGGAATGAGAAGATCAAGGGTGCTGAAGGAGGAAATATGGGGAGAGATAGATAAAATTAAGTGTTACTTGAGGAATAGTATGGAAAATTCATTCAGTAAAAACTTCCTAAAATATACACATGTATGTAAATTATATAAAGGAAATCACCAGATAATGGGGAAACAGACCCCCCCAACTGGTCATCTCTTGTCATCAAGCAAAGCTTTCAGTACTGGCATTGGGTTACATCTAATTGAGCTGTTGGCCAAAGAGGTCTTGTTTGAATCCCCAAATAACCCAGGCTGCTGCCAAGGCTATTTGCTGTTCTCCACAAACTGACAGCAAGGCTCCATTGCTGAAGACAATACCTACATAACTCATTGAACACGGACTTGTCAAGCTGATGCCTACATAGAGCCTCCATGCCTATATTCTAGCATCTTTGGTACAGGAAGATACTCTGCACATTACCAAAAGAGAAATGTATTACCAATCCAGCCACAAACCCTTTGATATGCAATGGTGTCCTGCCTGAATGATATGCTAGGGCAATAGTGGCACAGAGCTTGTGGAAGTAACCAACACAATATCTGCTTTAACTTAAGATACACTCCATGAGATGGAACCTATACCTGAGAGCTAGAGTAAAACCAAATACTACTGGTCTAAACAACAATGCAGTGACTCCTAATGATACTCTGTTATACTCATAGATCAGTGCCTTCCTTAGCCATCATCAGAGAAGCTTCCTCTTGCAGCATATGGCAACAAATACTGAGAAACACTGCCAGATAATATGCAGAGAATGAGAGACCTCAGAACACTCAGTCCTAAATGGGAAGTCTCCATCAAATCCCTCCCCACAGGGTTTTGATATGGAAGATATGGAAAGAGTGTAAGAGCCATGACGATAGAGGACACTAAGGAAACAAGGCCTTCTAAACACAGTAGGACTTGATTCCTTTGTTGTACAGAAGCTTTTTAGTATCATGTAATCCTATTTGCCAATTCCTGGAGTTATTCCCTATGCCATTGGAGTCCTTTTCAGAAAGTCCTTACCTACACCTGTATCCTTATGTGTTTTCCTTTTGTCTTTCTCTAGCAATTTTCAGGCTTTATAGGCTTTATATTAAGGTCTTTGGTTCACTTTGAATTGATTTACATACAGGGAGAGAGAGACTGATCATATTTCATTCTTCTACATGTGAAGAGACAGTTTTTCCAGCACTATTTAAAGTTAAAGAAGCTGGATTTTCTCCAATATGTGTTTGATCCCTTTGGCAAAATTTAGATGTTTCTTTCTGGAGCCTCTATTCTATTCCATTGATCTGATCTACATGTCTGTTTATATACTAGCTCACACTACAAGAAAAACTGTAATTGTTTTTGAAAAGGAAAAATAATGGAATTGAGGAGGGTAAAAATAATTCAAAATTCTCATACACTGAGTGATTTATGTGAATTTGATGAATGTAAAATGGTGCAGCTCTTTCAGAAAAATTTGGCAAAACATTAAACATAAATAATAATAATAATAATATGACCAAACAGTAAATAACCCATAGTTAGGTGCTCAGGGAATCAAATTATACAACGGGGTTTCAATGCAATGTATACATAAATATGATGTATTTTAATTACATTTTGCTGGCTTGAAAATTGGAGAGTAGAAAAGAAATGGATTGATTTTTAAAATATTCATGATGTGGAAGTAACAATACTCTATACTGTCTAGAAACAGATGGAGAAGGGTGAGGATGCCTCATAACTGAGCATGTTTAAAGTCTAATTCCTGTCTCCCTTCTATGTTACATTTCTATGCTCCTAGTGGCAGTAAGTGGCTTGTTATCCGAGCACAGAGAAAGCATTCACTACTAAACAGAGTGTGAGGAATACAGGAAAAAAGACTAATAGAGCAAAAATATGGCTAACAAAGCAGTCATGAGTGAGTCCTGCCAAACAACAAGTCTAAAAGTCATCCTCAAGGTTCAACAGATGTTCACCACAAGCACCTGAGACCATCTGAGAAGCCATAAGTTCCCTTTCTTACTCAGGAGAACCTCTCTTTCATTACCAGCCACTCCTTGCCTAGAATCCACAGGTGTGGCACAAGCTGGGTTTTCCCAGGATTTTCTCACTGCTGTTAGTCTTTGCATTGGACTACAGAATCCTAAGAGCAAAGAGGTTTATTGATCCCAGAGTTTAGTCAAGCCCCAGATTTGAAAACCAGAAAATAGATGACAGAAATAGCATAGACACTGAATTGATATTTTGGATATTTTGCTGCCATTCTCAGAGTTGACAAATGGGCAAAGTAGTACTTATGAGACTCCTGAGACAGACACCAAGACAAAGAAGCTATTAATCTGTCCCAGTTTGTATTTCAAATAAAGAACTAGAAAGAACACATGGTAGAAGTCTCCAGATGTAGCACAGATTATAAAAACCCAGAGACAGATATTGGGTTCAAGCTGAAGATCAGAGAAGCAAAGCAGCTAAGCCACCACTAGCTTTGCATTCTGATCTCCAGGCAAGCTTTGTTAGATCATAAACAAAATGCCACCACATCCAGACTCTACCACTACAGTGAACATTCTGTTCATTACACTGCTTATGAGACAATGTATAACTTCTTTAGTATTGTGGTAAACCATTTTTCTTTTCATGGTTGTTCTATAATAAGGAAGATTTGGAAGTCCCAGTATTGGTCCAAAGTGCTTATATTACTTCTGCATCTTTGCAGTCACTTACTTAATGTAAAATGAACTGCTTTTAAGTTTTAACCACAGTGTATCCTGGCAAGGTCAACACCTTGCTAAAAAAGCAACAATAAAATAAGAACCACTGTATGAGAATGTATTATTGAAGTGTTCCCATATAGAAGAGCTCAGCGTTTTTACTCAGTAATTAAACAGTAAAATTGTATTTTTTTTCATGAAACTTCCTGGAGGTATATTATCTTCATTCAATACATAACATTTTGGACAACAAATTTTGTTTAAATCCTTACTAATAAAGTATTCACAAGCGCATTATTCAGAGTTAATATTCAATTCATGCACTAAATGAATGTCGTTTCTAATAGTTTTAAAAGGATCCTCCAATTTTTTTTTTCAGAACAGAAAAAAAGGTTTCTAGCCTACCTTCTCCCAAGACCTACAACTACACTGACAGCCTTGCTCTAAAAGAGGCACACTATGGGTAAAATCTGGTCAGACAACATTAGTGAAAATGAGGTAGAAAGAAGGCAGTGCTGTAAATTCTTGCAAAAGCAGTGTTTCTCCCTCAGCTTTATGGCTGAGCAAAGGAAGGCATGCTGAATGAACTCTAGAAACCAAATGCGTAACAGATTCAGAGTTGGAAGGTCTAATCGAGTTTGAAACCATTTATACTGGGTGTCAGTCTCAAGCCTAGCTCGCTCCAGTTCTTTCACTGTGTCAGTTAGGCCCAACTGGCCTTAAGTTGATCTCCAAGAGGACTGTGTCGCGAAACTAGCACAAATCGTGCCGACAGCCTTGCAGAAAGGCAGGAATGTCTTCCACAGCCAGTGTAAGGTGAGTACTATCACCCTGGGATGGGGATTGGAGCCGTCACTTCTCACTACGCCAGGCCGCGAAGTACAAGACTAGGTGAGCCCGTGGGTCCCTGGCCACCTAAGACACCCTTTCCCAGACCCGAGGACAGCACCTACCTGTGCTGGAGGTCGCGACTCAGAAGTTTGCAGAGGCAAAAGCAAGCAAAGAGGGGTTGAAGTGCAGCCTTGTCACTCCTTTTGCTTTTTACTACCCAGCCCCCACCGCAGTCTGGCTCCCTTTCCCCTCCCCCAGCCAGCTCTAGTCTTCAGAGAATCTTAAGGCCCCGCCCTGCTCCTTCCGGTCTTGCAGAGTGGGAGACTCACAGGGCTGCTTTTAAAGACTACATTCGAGAAAGCTCAGACAAGAGCTCTAAACTAATTGAACAAATTTGGAGGTATAATAAAAGAAAGAGGGGTCCAGGATATTAAAATGCATGTAAAACTCGGGTTGCCTACCTGGTATTTCAGTGCTTTTCTATAATTTCCGAGCTATGCTTGTATTAATTGTAGCTTATTGAGGTTTTGTAAGAACTAAATGTCTTACATTACGCTTCAACATGCCACAATATCCCTCACTACTGGATTTCCGTAGATACGGATGAGCATTTTGAATCAAAGGCCCAGCTACAGTGCTAATATGGTGAGGCTTAGAAGAGGAATAAACCACAAAGAATGAACAAATTTTTATGAATGAAATTTAATAATAATGCATAATAGAAAAACTAAGAAATGAATCGTGAAATAATTTGTCATAAAGGCACAAAAGAAAATAGTTTGTCTGGTTCAACATCAACAGAGGAAGAAAAAGATTTCATCATGACTGAGACTTAATATTCCTCTATGGTTTTATCTTGTAATTCTATATATCTACATATATATAGTTATTTATTTGGAGAATTGATAGTCTTTTTTTAAAAACTCAATTTAGGTATTCCTCTGTGATTCCTGAACTGTCATTTCTACATAAATGTATATTTGCCTTTTCCATTGAGTCCATATGTCTCATATACCAATTACACTAAATTATAATTTCCTCTTTCTACCTTGCAGTAAAAGAGCAGAATTTTGAAATTTTGTATTTTTAAAATACAAAAGAAAGTTTGTATTTTTCAAACCTGATTTCCAAGCATAAGATGTATTCTTTAATGAATATTATTAAGAATTACCTAAGACCACTGAAAATACACACTAAAGATTGTACCCAAAATGTGAATTAATGCTAAGAAGAATAACTAAACAAAATGAAAATATATATTGAACCTGGCTGGTATTCATTCATGCAACAAATATCGAGTCTTAATACAGTCAAACTTTACACTGATCTCTGAATACAAATGATGATCAAAACCAAGACATACTTCAGTGACGACCAGGCAAATAGGAAAAAGGAAAATATTCCAGATATAAGGAAAGCAAGATCTAGTGTATGACACAGAGCATATTTTAGGAGTGTGTGAATATATGGATGGATTAAAACCCAGGAACAGCTGGGCATGATTTCACATACCTGTAATCTCAGCACTAAGAGGACCCAGCCAGGAACATCATGAGTTTGAGGTGAACCACTTCTACATAATGAGAACCTGTCTAAAACAAAAGACCAAACTCCAAACAAACAAGCAACCTAGATATTAAATAGAAAAAAATCCCATAATTATATTTTTTCTGTTCCTAGAACATACTAAGCTTGTCTGTGTTCAATTTTCAAAGTATAATATGCACATCCATTTATTTATCCGTGCCCTATCTGATTATAGTCCAAGTTCCGGGTTGGAATTATTTTTCTATAAAGTCATATAGTAAATATTTTCAGCTATTTTTTAGACATATACAATCTGTCTACAACTAAATTCTACTTTTATAAAATAGCCTTAACCACAGATCATAGAAAATACATATGTTAAAGTGTGTGAAGGTGTTTTACTGAAATTTTATTTACAGAAACAGAAGACTAGATTGAGCCTATGGATTATAATTCACCTGGGGATTGGAGAGATGGTTCAGTGGTTAAGAGTACTAGTTGCTCTTCCAGAAGTCCTCAGTTCAATTCCATGCAACCACATGGTGACTCACAAGCATCTATAGTGGGATTTGATGGTCTCTTCTGACATAAAGGCATACATGCAGATAGAGCACTCATACATAAAATAAATAAATATTGAGCTAATGATTAAAAAATTGCATGGTTGGTTACAGCTTGCACTTAATGTTTAGGCATTGTCTGAGCAGTTTACAGCCTGTACCTATCTGAACCTCAACTGGTATGGCAAGAAAGAAATTACTACAATTATCTCCCTTTTATTTTTCAAGAATGCATTCCAAAACCCCCAGTGGATGACAGATACCATGTATGTAGTTCCTAACTTGTATTTTGAAAACTATACATGTTTATCACTGTTGACATTAACAGCAACCTAAGGGTAAGAGTATAAAGAAGGAAAGATTTATTTTGTCTAATGCATTCAAAGGTTTCAGCTTATTGTTGGCTGGGTCTAGTGTTCAGGGCCTGAAAGAAAGTATCCAGAGTATTATGGAAATGGGAGCATATGGCAAAGGCCACTTGCCTCATGATGGTCAGGAAGGAGAGAAATAGTAAGACCAGATTGAGACCAAGATGTACCTTTCAAAGCAACAGCCTCAGTGACTCACTTCTTCAAACTAGGCACCATTTTACAGAGTTTCTTGACCTCCCAATTAAATATTGTCTTCAAATTTTGAATCCTTGACGTCAGAACTTTCAAGATATAATTGTCTATTGTCTATAGAAATAATCTTACAGATGATTCCAGAGAGTCATATAGCTGTTCCTAGCCACAAAGCACCACTCAGTCCAATCAAAATGAAAATTAATACTAATCAAATATATTGATAAAACAGAACAATTAAAATACTATGTAGAATTAAAATTATTTAAAACTTACAAAGTGCTCATTCCTAGAATTTTAAATGTTTTTGGACAGCAGATGACTGAAACTTGAAGGAAAAACTGGATTAAGGAGAACTTTTGTATTATTAAAATTGATTGCAGTATGTTCACATATTAAGTTAGAGTTTGCTACATATATAGACAATGTTAAACCAAATTTAATTAAATTTAACACACATATCCTTTGGGTCAGCTTCTCCATTTTGAAAATTAATCAAAATCCTAGACACAGATAATTCTTTCTGTTACCACCATAATGACTTGTTTGGTCTCTGGATGGAATGCAAAAGTCACAATGTCAAATTAATTTTATGATTCCTTACATGTTCTTCACATTTTTTGTTATTCTGTGATGAGGCCACTTAATGTACAAAGGATTATTGTGATAGGATTGTTTGATACTTCCGAGGAGAGACCCTGTACCAGGTAGGTTATTGTGGATAGCTCACAGTAGGATATACTAAGAAACTAAAACATGCTCCTTAACAAGAGTTTCCATGAAATAAAAATAATAATTCAAAGTTAAGATAATAAAAATAGTTCAGTAGTATTCAGGTGTAGTTGTTTATGGTTTTTGTTCATTTCATGGTGGCAAGGTGATGGGGGATGTCCTTCTGTATGCTGTGAATATGTTTCTCTTATTGTTTGATGAATAAATGCTGATTGGCCATTAGCCAGACAGGAAGTATAAGCAGGGCTACCAGTTGAGGAGAATTCTGGGAAGAGGAAATTCAAGGAAGCAGTTGCCAGAAGGAGATGCCATTTAGCTGCTAAAGGAATAACATGCTGGAGCATTATGGGTAAGTCACAGCCTCGTGGCAATACATACTTTAATCAAAATGGGTTAATAATTAAAAGAGAGTTAGTGAATAGAACCTGAGCCATCAACCAAATAGTTTATAATTAATATAAGCCTCAGTGTGTTTTTTGGGACTAAAGGGCTGTGGGACCTGGCTTGAAAGAAACTCTGTCTTCATATGACACCAACCAACACCAACATGGGGCAAGAATTTCCATATACAATGGAACCACAATGGGCTTCCTAGTCTAGTCTCTTAGTCTCATGCATGCCATGGTGCAGATATGCTGTGGCAGTTGGGCTTGAACACAGGCTACACAGCATGCTGCATGGCAGATTTAGCTTTTACTCATACAGACAAAAAAGATTTATGGGCAGTGTGCTACAAGCTGCTTGGTGGTGGCACAGACCAGAGTCAAGGTGGTGAGCACAGTTCCCAGAGCAGGTTGTAAACATACACCAGCCACATTGGAACCTAACTGGGTGGAGCCCACTTTAATCTTAGCTATGCTGTTTAGAAAATTAAAGACACCTGGTCAGAAAAACATAAATATATGCAGTAAAGACAGATTCAGAGGGGAAAAAACACAAAAAAACTCTAAATGGTTTACAATGTGTTTAAAAATATACATAGGCTTGGGAGAAAAAAGAAAAAGGATACAGAAAGTCATTTAAAAAGAAATAGAGTACCTGGGTGTGTTGACACACGCCTTTAATCCCAGCACTCCAGAGGCAGAGGCAGACAGATCCCTGTGATTTCAAGGTTTACAGAATGAATTCCAGGACAGCCAAAATTACACAGAGAAACCATGTCTCAAAAAGAGTAAAAGAAATAGAGTAATAACAAAAACTCCACATAAAGATGTAAAATACACAGAATCTGAATACTATCTGTTATTGTCTTTGCATTGGTTGATTACTGAAATAGGAGAAATAGCTGCTAAAATACATTTGATCGTAAATGCTGCTGGATTAATCTAACCTATATATTTTAAAAATGCCTTGACTTCAAAATTTAAGTCTAAGGACATGTTACTTTGGAAAAGAGGTCCTATTTTTGTTTCCACAGAAGATGAAAAGCTGTGGATTCCTTCCACACTTGTAAAGAGAAGCTTTTTCCTTGAGAGAAGCCTTCCCGCTAGCCTGGTTCTAGAGCCGCATGAGTCCCAAATAAACACACAGGAGGCTATATTCATTATGAAGCTGTTGGCCTTGCTTGTCTCTTACTAGCTAGCTCTGACTTAAGTAATTACCCCATAATTGTTAATCTAAGTATGTCTCTTACCGGAGAAGTTTCCGGGCTTCCTACCCCATGGCGTTACATCTCGACTCTCTTGTGTTTCTCTTACCCAGAGTCCTTCTGGACTCCTAGTCCCTCCTATCTAGATTCCCTATTGGCCAGACAGTGCTTTATTGACAAATGCACAGGACTTCCCCAACACACACTTATATGGTTTGTTCAAACAAGACCACCTGAAGCAGTGGCCCAGGTGATCCAACATCTAAAACAGATGAGAT